ACGTAATCCTTGGTGGAAATAGTCCAGGAAATGCTGAGGGCTTTCCTGGGACTGAGCCGAGCTGACCCTCCATCACAGAGAGAGGAAAAAGGCAGATGGTACGACCCGCCCTGCTTTGTTCTGATTGGGTAAAACTTTGACTTTGGTTCTCTTTATTGGGTGAAAGAACAGTCAGTTTAATCCATAGATAGCTTTAACAAGTTTCTTTCTCTCCCGTTCATTTTTACAATGACGAACAYATGCAGAGGAAATCTTTAATCCAGGTTTTTTTTCTTGGTTGTCCACCGGACAACTGGGAGGCGGGATCTGGTTGTCCGAAACGAAAATAGGTTGTCTTGGACAAACTAAACAATGATTGCGTCAACCCCTGTTTTATGTTGATAAAAAAAAATCATTCCAAAGGTATGGCGGCTTTTATTTAGCCGTGGCAGTGCGCCACAWTCATTTACATGTAGGGGAAACCCTGGGTTGGATGGATGGATGGATGTTCTGAGATATGTGGACCCTGGTAATTTGCAACATCTACTTCCTGTTTTTTACAGCCATGCGTAATGTCATCGTCTGTTGACATTACGCTTTGCATAGCCTGGTTAATTCACTCCAACCAGTAGATAGAAAGACACCTAATTTGCTTTCGAAACTTTTTTGGTAACATTTTAAGTTAGCTCAAAATTTGCATTACGATTGAATTGAAACACATTTATTAAAATTTATTTTGAGCTTCTGCTGCCAATCAGGTGCCCTGTGTAAGATCTTTTGCCAAGAAGCATTGTTACAACAAATAAAAAATCGACCAAACACTAATTTCCTTACTTTGTGTGCTAAGTACATATAGAAACAAAATAACGTCCCCATGCTGTCATCCCCTGAATAAATTTGCTGCTCAGATTCTGGCATGTTACAAAAAATATATTTCACCTAAAATTTCATTAAAGGCTGGTTTTGATGAATTTATTTCAAGAACACTGGCAACCAAATCTTTGGATTCAGCTAAAACTTTTGGTTGCTGCTTGAAGTTCTTGGTTGAAATCAAATGTTTTGAACTCAGAACATGAACATCTGGGGCGGGGCCTAGAGAGGAACTAGGTAAGACATGTTCCTATTGTTAAGTGCGGACTGAAGCGATTTGGTGCACCCACTTTGAAYATTGTCAATCCATTAAATGRCCGTTATTAGAATTTATCTGTCCCATACATTGTGTGCAGACCGTCTCTCCTCTACCCTCTAYTGGAAGGCACGTATGATAATATGCATTTAGGCGCAGGGGGTTTGGCTCCTTTCCCAGGACGCAGAGCTCAAGCTACCGGCCCGGTTCACTGTCCTTGAGATTCAACCTAAGGTTTCTGACATGCGAAAAATGTATTTTGCAAAACTTTTTGATATTGAAACTGCTTTTTTGTTTGAACAATTATAATAAATAAATAAATAAATAAATAAATAAATAAATAACCTCCATACAGAACAATACAATTAAACCATTTTTGTTTATATATTTTTCTCAAACTTATCCAAACCTGGAAAATACTAAAGCCAATTACTTTTCAATATTGTGTAGGAACCCTGCATCAGTTCTTGATATCAAAATATGTTGAAACTAAAGGATGGCACAATCTTATTATAGTTATAAGTATATACATACTGGTTGTCTGGCAGTGATATTTGGGTAGGATTTCTGATGATTTGCAGCCAGACAAGTTATCTTTGTTAAACTTTAAGCCATTACTTTGTCTAAATACATACTCATATTTTTTCCTGCCAGTAACAATACATTTTCAGTGAGAAATCACCCTTTGAATCCAATTTTATGATCATTTGTTTCAAACAGCATAGGTTTTTCCATTAGACTGAGGATGAATGTGTAGGATAAATCGGGTATAAAGTCTGAGTTTTTGTACTGGCACAGTAAAGTCATCTCATCCCTTTAGATGGCAGCAGTATGCCGCTTGAMTAGTGTGTCAGACTGAGATAGAATGTGATAGATGCTTGAAGCAAAGCTAAAAGAAAAACGCCACAGAGGGACAGTTAGAGCTCATTATTTCTTTGATTTTTGTAATCTTCATCATCCAGATCTTTGTTATTGGTAACAGGCTGTCTCTTGCAGTGAGGTGGAAAACAGCTTTTGAAGAAGAAGAAAAAAAAACTAGCTCCTCTTTGCTTGTCTTGTTTAAGTATGATGCCTCTTCCATGTAATTGAACTTGATGAATGCTGGCGTTGTTTTCCCGTAAAGATGCTTTGTCTTTTTAAACCCCACCTGACATATCTGGGTCGGCTGGCTATTTTCAGAAAACGTTTCTGTACCTGTCTGTGTGACGCAGTGTTAAGATCTGATCTATCAGTTACAAGAAAGTAGTTTTATTTATCTATTTATTTTCTGCTAATGTCARTGCTTATGCAAATTTTAAACAGTGTAAGACAATGATGTCCTGTACTTCCAATATTAGAGGCAAATAGGATGTAGAAGATTCAGAAAATTCATTCAAGCATTTTCACGTTTGTTATTAAAACTGGGTAAAAAACAAACTTTTTTATAATTTAAAATTATGAAATTTATGTTTTTTCACAAAGTGCAACAGCTTTGCAAAAAGGTTTAGTTTTGTTTTTCATTTTTGATGTTCTGTAACCAGATTTAGTTTTTACAGTATATAAAAGAAATGGGGGTTAGAAAGCAACTTTTAATGAMATTTGTCAAATTAACATTGTTTTATGTTATCAAACTATTTGACTATGGTGATTTGTTATTGGGTGAAAATGCAAACTGGTTAAGTAATTTGTGTTACTTATAAAATATGCAGGGAGTGTTCGGCAGGTGCTATATTTATTTATTTATTTTACAGTTTATGATACACTTTAGTTAATTGGCCAGTCTTCACTAATGACATGTTTGATGTATTTTTTTTCTGAGTGAGAGAGACTCCAAGTAAGCTGTTTGTAATAGTTTAAACTAAGCAAAGCGAGCACAAGAATTATAAGACGCTTGAAGAGAAACAATACTTTTCTACAAAGATGCAGCTGCTATTTGTTCAGTAACCTACGGCCTACAATTCTACTTCCTTGTGCCAGCTGTCATTCAAAAGATGACATGTAAAAATCTATTTTAATTTGAAATGAGTGAAATTTAAATGAAAATATATTAGGCAAAAAAAGGTATGCTGGAATAATTTGGCTGTAATTCTGTAATAATAATAATTGTCTGTTTGTGTCCCTGTAGTTGACCAACCTGTCTGAAGTGTACTCTACCTCTTCCCTAATACTCTGGAGATGGGCACCAGCTCCATGTGACCCTGGAGAGGAACAATTAGGTAAACAAGATAAATGAATGGATGCTTTCTGTTAAAATTCTTTGAGACACCAGTAATCAGCTCAAAAAACAGCTAAATAAAAACACTTTTTTTTGTAATTTTTTTTATTCAAGATTTGGATTTTCTCAGAAAGAAAAAAAATCAGGTGGTAAATTCGCTTTATTTCTTGCATTTTTTCATAGAGACTAATGGATAAAATTGCTGTCATAGTCTCTATAAAATTTGCTTGTAAACATTTAAACAGTCTTTGCAGATGTAGGTACGACACCTGTGATTTCTCAGGCTGTGTTTAAAGTCTTAAATATTTAATCAGTGCTTTTAATCTAATGTAAGATTTGTTTGGTGGAGTCAAATAAAACATGATGTTCACAGATTATCATGTGTTTTTAAGAATAGCTTCACAGGAACTAGTTGAGCTGTTTTTTATGATGTTTTTTGACCCAGTGGAAAGTTACCTGTCACTACTTGAACAGGACAAGAAGCAGGAATGAAAGTGAGGCAGAAACACCTATGAACTTAATTACCCAATGAATAATTAATGTTTGATTGCAGTGTTCCCCTAGGCTGTCAACACTAGATAATTTGCCATAAGATTATAATTTATCACTAATTGCTTTGGCAAGAGGTTTATGATTAAAATAATTTGCGTGTTAAATGCACAAATTCTTTTAGGCGGTAAACTTTTGTTTAAAGTATGTATCGATTAAGCTGCCCGCACACTGTTAAGAGGAGTACCATTAAATACCATTTAATCTAGTTACACATTGGGGAATAAAAGTATTTGTTTGCTGAGACGTAATGCAGTCCTGTTTTCCATAATTTAGTTAAACAAAACAGGTGATTATTCTAATGCAGTGAGATGCATACGACCCCAGGAGTTATTTCAGCACGGAGAGGTGCTTCAGTATCCTCAAAGCTTAGAAAAGCACAACAGCATCCTAAACACTTAAGCTCCTCTGTGAATCATGTTTACTTCTCTAAGCTGTAATGTCTATTTAGATGAGATTTTAAGTTGTTTGTCTGCAGCATAATGAATGTTTGTTGTCTGGCTTGGAAGTCTTTGTGGAGCAGTCACAGTAGCGTAGCTGTGGGCAGGACAGGTGGTTGGTTTGTGCTGGTGACTTTGTGCAAAGTCCTATGTTTCCATCTATGCATACTCTGTGTTTAACTTGGCTTATCAGTGTGACCACAGTCTCAACATATCTGCTTTTATCTTTTTATTCCTGAGTACTCTTTTTTTCACTGCCAAAATGTTAAAGATTTTCAGTTTTGTTACCTATTTACATATTTTATGTGTGRAACTTAGATTTAGAATTATTTTGCCTTTTTTGGTTTTCAAAGGAGAAACGTAGACCTGAAAAAAGAGATTGCATTTCAATACTGGTCAGATTCCTTTTAATGTGTTTTATTATCAAACAATTCAAATAAGACACTTTGTTTTTTGCATGACTGTAAAAAAGTGCTAGGCTTCTACAATGGAAATGTCAGTTTGTTGAGATGTTTACCTTAGATACTGTAGTATCTGGTGTAGTCCAGGTTGACATTTGATATTGGCAAAATAATTGATTACGATTAATTGTATTTAGCCGATAACCATTAATATGATAATTAATCCCTGGAGTCCCTAGACGCTTGCATGGCCTAAGTCACATGACCAATTTAAGTCACTCTAGTGGGAAACATTTACTCTCCTTAAAAATCTGTTCCAMACTGTGTCTAAAGTACAGACTTCAGKCTWTACATCAATTTTTAAATTGTGTTCATAGACCAAGTAAAACCGGAGTTGTGACAAAATAAATTACTGCACTTTTTTAAAAATTTTCKTCATATTTGAAGCCGAGAGGAGCACCCAATATATGACAATGTGACAATATGCAACGGGTAAAATAAGTATTGAACACGTCAACATTTTTCTCAGTAAAAATGTTACTAGAGGTGCTARTGACATGAAATTCTCTCTTGTTCCAGAATTTTGATCTCTCTCTATTTGATTTTAAAGGCAAAAGTCCCAGTTGTATCTGTTAATCAACTCACATGACCCAGAGGATCCATTGTCAACATTTGGTTGCAAGCCTCCTCACAATCAAAAGTTGAATGTGGTGACAAAGATAGTTTGATGGTCAGTGCTTTAATCTGATGTGGAATATATTGGATAATATCAGCTTTTAGTCACTAACTAACTCAAAGCATCAGACTGTAAAAAGCCCAAAATGTCTCAGGTCTTAAGGTTGTCTCACAGTCACAATRGAAAATTTGGACGTTTTTATAAAAGACATCTTGAGGTCTCTTTTTTATATAGACTTTTATACACTTTTATAGGCTTTAAAGGCCAGTGGTTTAATATTGATGACATTAATGAAGGCTTTGTCATGTAAAAAAATGCAGTGTCAGCACATATTTATGCTAACACACTTGTTA